CCAACTTCATCCCTTGTGCAAATGTGTTAACTCCACCAAGTTCCAACACTTGTGCCGTGAGTTAGCATTTCACAAATAAGTTTTCCAGGGGATGTAAGCACTCACTAGGTCCTAATGCAAATGCAAGTGTTAAATCACCTGGTGGCACTTAGATAACCGTATTTGCGTTGAGATTACCCCTCTTAATAGCATGACTATCTATCCTAAATACACTCACACCCTCTATGATGTCTTGAGTGCCAAAACAAAAACCTATTTGATACATTTGCCTTGATCAACACTTGGTTTTTGTTTTTCTCTTTCTTCTTTTCTAAGTTGGAGCATTTGATCATCTCTTTTGGTCATCACCATCACCTTGATCACCATCATCTAGCTCCATTGCTTAGATGTACCAACCTAGCTCATATTCACACTTAATGACATAGGTTAGTACATAGATTTCATCAATTAGCCAAAACCAAACTAGGGCTTTCACTATAGCCGACCTCAATAGTTTGTGTTGTTAATCCAATCGAGTTGCCACAAATGGATCAGGTGGGGTTGAGCAACTGGGCCCCAAGGAAATCTATGATTAAGAGAGACCTACAAGCAGTGAGCCCACACTGAAAAGCAATAATCAAGAGAGAAGAAAAGGAATCAGGAAGAGTACTCCTAGTAAATGAAAATAGAATATTTTTAAACGAACAACCCAGTGATCTTACTGATTCTGTTTTCTTTTGTTTTTTCACTCACTCCCATGTAATCATAGTGTGATAACTTACATGTATAACTTAATGAATGACTTAGATGTAAATTATTATTATAACATATTAATAAAAATATAAAACTATGTACAAAATAACTATGTAGCATAACTTATAAATATGAAATATTGTAGAATTTGCACATTTTAATACCATAATCTAACATGAAGATTTTATCATATAACTAAATAGAAAGCAAAACATCTTTCTAGGTTTACATCATAAGTTATCTTAAAACTTAAAAGAATAATTTGTGAAACTTGAAGCATAGTATAATTTAATATCGTGTATCCATTACTGATGCATGATTTGTATGTTGCATGCCCTGATACAAAATAAAGAGAAGAATAAGAAATAGAAGGTCACAAAATTTTAACTAAAAACTTAGAACTAAATATGAAATCACATGTTGATCAGCTATTGCCTTTATTTTAGGTAACAAAACTCAATTTTGAATACGAAATCTTACATCATAAGTTTTGCATATAAAAATTAAGATGATTCATGAATTGCATGAATCGGATTCAAAAAGAGTGAACCCTCGCGAATAGCTCGCGTGAAAAGAAAAGGAAAAAGAAATTCGGCATAATGGGACAAAAAAAGGAAAGAAATGAGTTCACTGGGGTGTTCACGGGATTGCAGGTTGCAGCCGAGCAGACGACCGACAACCTGTAATTGGGGTCCTTCTGAGGTGCAATGACGAGAGAAACGAGAAAGAGGGAGGTGGTTGGAGGAAAAAGGAAGGTTGTAAGTAGAAGAAAGAACACGAGCCAATGGGATGAAAATTCAAGAGCCCAAAATTCACGTGTGAGTAGTAGAGAGTTGAGACCACCACCCACGTATGCAAGAGAAGGACCTCTATCAAGAGTTTATAGCCACTAAATTTTCAAATTCAATACACGATCGAACCTTTAGCTATATTTTGTTGCAACTTTAAAATCTCAAATTCATTACTTTTTTTTAGCAAATCTCATGACTGGCCTAAAAAGTTAAGTACACGATGGTCTGCTGCTCTCTCTCTCTCTCTCTTCTTCTTCTTCTTCTTTGGCTCGTTCTCATATGCGGCCGAGTGGCGTGGGCCGGTTGGCGAGGTCTGTCTCGCGTACTTTCAAAGCCCAACAAATTGGTAGCACCCAAAGCCGAATGGGTCAAAACACAAGGCCTTGAGCGCTCCGTTGTGCTCCGCGAGGAAATCGAGACTCGAGAGGAGCCGAGGAGGCGACCGGGTCGGTGCTGAGTACCAACGGAAAGTCCAACCGCAGCCACCAAGGAAACGAGGAGGAATGGAAGCCGCCGGCGCAGCCTCGCCGCCCACGGAGCCGCCGGTGACTCACCCGGCGGTGGCGCCGCTGGCCTTCCTGCTGGGGAAGTGGCGCGGGGAAGGCGAGGGCAGCTTCCCCACCATCTCCTCCTTCCGGTACGGCGAGGAGCTCCTCTTCTCGCATCATCCCTCCAAGGTGTGGCGCCTCCCTACCTGCGCTGTTTCCCTCGCGAGAAAATCTTCCCTTCGGCTGCCCAATTCTTGGAGCTTTTTCTTTGACTTTACGGATCGGTGGTGGGTGGCTGCAGCCGGTGATCTCGTACACGCAGAAGACGTGGAAGGCGGCGTCTGGCGAGCCGATGCACGCCGAGAGCGGGTACTGGCGGCCCCGCCCTGACGGCTCCGTCGACGTGGTCATCGCGCAGAGCACTGGCCTCGCCGAAGTCCAGGTGAGCTCCTCGGGCCAGTTGGCCTCTTCTCTTCAATCATAGCGGCTGTGCTACCTGCAGGCTGCTCTGCACATGTGCCATCGCCTGTTGCATACCCTAGTGAACTACTGCACATTTCGTTTCTCGCACCGGCATCCAAAGAATGATTTATGCTGTTTGACCGGAGATGCAGGGCACAAGCATCTTTAATTGCCGCACTGAAACTAGTATCGAACCAGCATTCCATTGGAGAAGTTGTATTCTGTTCCTGTATTATGAGTAGGAGATTTGCATTACTGACGCTTGATGGAAACGAGTATGGATAGAATTGTAGCAAATTAGGGAACTTATGTTTTGTACTTCTGTGGATGGGAAATGCTCTACTGCTACCAGGTAATAGAATAGGTGAGTGAATGGAAGTATGGAGCAGACAGTCCAGGAACAACATGAGTGCAAAATGGCTAGAGCTAATATTATTATCCTTGTGCCTCTTGAAACTGTTGATAAATGGAATGCATGTTTCACTTTATAGTAGGTCTCCTTTGAATTTAAATATGTTGCACCTGGGACTAAAAGGTACTTCCTCCATTCCAAATTATAAGACGATTTGACTTTTGTAGATACACAGCAAAAGCTATGTACTTAATTATACACTATTGCCCTATTCGCTTGGCTGATAAGCCATGGCTGAAAGTATTGTTGGCTGATTTGTTGTGAGAGAAAAATATTGTTCGTTGGCTGAAAAAGTACGGCTTATAAGTCAAGCGAACAGGACGTATGTCTATATAAAAGCAATACATCTAGAAAAGTCAAAACGTCTTATAATTTGAAAATGAGGGAGTACTTGCTAGCTAAAAGCTATGTTGCTTTTCTAGAAACGTCTTATTCGCTTGGCTTATAAGCCGTATCTTTTCAGCCAATGAACAATATTTTTCTCTCACAACAAATCAGCCAACAGTACTTTCAGCCATGGCTTATCAGCCAAGCGAACAGGGCAAGCTATTCATATTCCTTAATTAATTTGTGTTTCCTTTTATTGAGCCACTTTTTCGGTTCTATGAAATCGCAGAAGGGTTCATATGACGCTGAAAAGAAAACAGTGACACTCCAAAGTGAACTCGTAGGAAATGCATCAAAGGTACTGCTCACTGGGTAACTATTGTTCTGTGTTGTCCTCATTTTCTTTTACATTATCAGGTCATATATCCCTAGAGAAAATAGACCATGATATGGAATATTGGAAGCTTCTTCTATGCTTATAGCGAGTGCCATGAATCTCTGAAAAAAACAGTATCATGAAATTATATCAAGAAATCCATCTTTGCTTACGGGCAAGGCTATTTTTTATTATTATTGTTATTGTACTGTGATACACCTTTTGTGTTCAAGAATCATGCTACTATAGGTTGGCCCATCCCCTAAATTCAGACGGAATTCCTATTCTGAATTGGCCCTTTGAACTTCTGCATTTTGATTGCATCGCCTTCACACATTACCATGTGCTAGATCAGATGCTACGAGTTTAGATGCAGATATGATCTCTTCTTTTACCGATGACCTTGAAACCCACGGGATAAAAGGAGCCAAGCCGTTGTCTTTTTCTACTAATAAATACTGCTGAATTTTGCCAGGTGAAGCAGATCACGAGATCTTTTCAAATGGCAGATGGGGAGCTCTCGTACGTCGTTCAGATGGCAACAATCACAACTAGCCTACAGCCACATCTCAGGGCCCTTCTTAAGAGGATTTGAAGATGACCGGCAATCTCCTATAGCGACGTCGCTGCGGCTAACCAACCGAGGGACACCTGTACTACAGAGCATAAACTTCCGGTCATTACTAGTTAGTGAACTTACAAGTTCAATAAGCTCATTTTCATAAACAATAGTTCCGCTCTTAGGAACCACCGTATATCTAAACGGCTTAACATTCAGCCCATACTCCACATCCTGTCAGGTTTTTATTTGTTCCTCCTTAACATGCATAGTGAGAACACAAATCACTATGTTTCTGAATATTACATGCATAGAGAAAATAAGAGAAGAGTGTAAAAAAAATGAGCTCATGTTCACATGACGTTATGATAAATTGAAAAATGAGCCTTTCCACTATTTCAGATCGATCTTAATGTTCAAGGCAGCAGAGAGCAGAGGAGTTGAAGCGGGTCATGTTTCAGAGTCCTGGGGTTAAAAGTTCCGACAGCCACTGCATTCTGAAGCTGCCTATTACAAAGAGGATCATCCAACAGGATGCTAAAGCCAGGAACCAAACAACAGAACCACCACACCGAGAACTTGGGTACTGTCAGATTTTGTGGATATGCTGCACAAGAAATGAAGCAAGTAGAACGGAGAACCAGAGACAACCTAATCGCGCTCTCTAAAAAGGAGACAAGTATAAAAACCAAATATTCCACGTTATGAAATAAGGATTATGATCAAGCGGGTCAAATTTGCAACGAGAACCAAGATTTAGCACCATATTTTTGGAGACCCTAAACAAGACATTGATTTCCAAGTCTTAAGACACTAAAAAAACACTAGGACTCCCTTCAGAGAAGAAATCCAATCACGCTTCAGTTTGTTCCCTCAAGCGACGGATTGTGCTCCTGACAGTGACTGCATTAGCAGTGCTGCAAAGACACAAAATAATCAGGATATTCACCACAATGTAAGGTTGTTTAGGGAGAGGAAAGAAGTAGGAAAGAGGACATACTTCTTGGCGTAAGCACCACCAGCCTTGACCTTCCCGCAGTCCTTGTAACCCCAAATTCCAACTGCTTTCCTCTTCACAGCGAACTGGTGAGAAAGCACAGCAAAGTCAGTAATAGGACAAAACAAATACTATTTTCCATGTGTTTTAGAAACAAATTGCTCAACATGCATAAGTATGTCATAAACCATTCAAATATGATACCAAACAAGCAGAATTGACAAGAGATACATTCTACAGTTTACAGTTTATGGCAGTTCAGGTACGCATAAGTCATTTTTTTTCGCGATCGGGGGCCATTCACCCGTGTTTCATCAAGAGGAAAACAGTTAACAGTACAACAGTGCGCACTCACGCAAGCGAGGAGCCTTCGTGACACAACGCACACCTTGCCACCTAGCTACTGGATTCACTAAGAGAAATTACATAGGAAAGGTGCTTTGCGACTAAATCAGCAAGACAAAAGCGAGCGACTATGCCCGCTGGTTCCTGCCCGGGAAGAGAATTTGCATGGCTTCCCGCGTCGACGTCGACAGGGGGAGGGCGAAGGCGGTCTGGAATTCCTCAAAGGAGGCTTCGTCAGGTAGCTCAGTCTCCACCTCCTCGAGCCACAAACGTTTCATCATCACCTTCCGCGTCTGAGCCTCCGGCTTTTGTTCCCTATGCCTGCTCTTGGCAGCAAGCCTAGCGCTCCTCTTGGGGACGAGCTCCGAGTCGTCCAGCTCCCCCGCCCGCGCTCTGGCCGCCCAGGTTAGCCGTAGTCGTGGAGGTGACGACAAGACAGGCATCGTGAGCGGCTTCTTGAATGCAGCGATAAAGTCCTCGGTCGACGTCACGGTCGTCGCGTCAGGCGCTGTGCCAACAGCAGCCGGAATGGCGGGGCTGCCTCCGTCTGCCCCTTCCTGAATGGTGGGGAAGTCGACCTGGACCGGAAAGGTACACATAAGTCATTAAGCTAGACTGCAGTACATTGTTCAAAAAACAGCAGGCAGAAAAATGCATAACTAATTAAACCAATCAACATAAGACCTACCTTTCCACAGAACTCACAGAAGTACTTGGAGTTCTGAGACACCTCCATCTTCTTGATTTGCTTACGCAAGCTAGCACCATACCTAGTTCTTGTAACATTGGAATTTGCAAGGGTTAGCTTCAGAAAGTTCTAGAAGCATTAATAAGAATACCATATTTGCCATCGACAGCAACCTTCTTGGTACGCTTCGTCTGCATAGACATAACAAAAACAAGAAATTACAGTCACATACAAAATGTGTTCAGTATAGTATAACTGGTTGATGTGTGATACTTAAGTACAGATGCATCTTCAAGACCAACATTAAGTAAAAGATTGCACGCACTGAAGTTGACATGCCACAAGAACCAAGTATAATTTCTAACATTAGGTATGTAGTTAACCAAAATATCATTTAACTCATAAAATCATAAAAAGGGATACAAGCCACTAGATATATTTTCGTTCCTGCAAGGTCAGGCTGGAGGGCAGATATTGCACCAGCTTGATTAGACTCTACTTCTTTTCTGGATGACCAAACAACTTGATACACTGCTAGTACATAAGAGCGCATTTCGCAGCAACAAACGTTTCAGATTCTCTGTAAGATCACTGCTAAACATCATAAAGAAAGATGTTTTAGGAATAATCACTTGAAGCAGCAAACGAAAACTAGAAGAGTAGAATACTCCTCTCAAAACAGACAGATGGAAGAGACAAAAACACACACAAAAATGATGGAAATATGAATTGGACCACCGTCGCGGCCACGTCGATGGAAGAGCATCTTGACCGGCTCCTCGATTAGTAACGACAATGATTAGCAGCATTATTCTTAGCTGGGCATCGATCTCACGCTCAGAACATCGTGGAGGCCTAAACCACCGATAGGCTATTTGCGGCTTGATTGGTGCTAATGAGTCGATGGTGACCGATCACCAGCGCCACGCCACAGTGTTCGCACGTGTTCCGGCCATATGCATATGCTTAGAAACAGAACTCTCCTTGGTTGTTGGCACACCCTTAATCTGCAGTGGTTAAGTTAGGCCGGGGGGCCGTACGTGCCAACAACAAGGCTGCCCCAAAACCAACGCATGTGTGTCATCATCGACCTACTAGTTCAGGCCTCAGACACGCTCTTCGACCTGATGTCTTTGCCATTTTTTCAGCCTTTTTTTCGTACTACTAGTACCTTGTGCCTAGGACGTCTATTAATCTTGCCTTGTGTTGGGGGCAGGACCGGATTTCGGCACCCCGTCGACTCCCGGACGCCGTGCGACACTCGCAGATGAAAAACACGCCCAACATCTCGCCCTGGCGAGATGGCAGACACACACGCGGACGGATGGCAGCTCCTGGCACAGGGCCCCCTCCTTTTCGTCGGGGCGAAAAGACGGGAGCGACGACGGCGCGTTTGGCGATATGCAGGCTCGAGGTTGGTTCGGCCTATTCGCATAGGCGAATAGAACCGCGGAGCCCCGAGACAGTGGCTGGGCAATTTCGCCTTGCCGAAAGGAGGCAACTTGGGCAGGATCAGTGAAGCCCGCGGCACGGGCGCGATTCAAGCTATTCGCCTTGACGAATAGTCACTAACGGGCCGCCTAATCAATTTTGCAAGTTTCGCCAGAGGGGGAGTCAATGGCCTTTTCACCGGTCCGACAGCGTCAGTCCACCGGGGGCCACACGGTTGGCCAGGATGTGACATGGGACAGAGCGGGTCGGGCTCCCGGGTCCGGTGCTACCTGAGGCGGGTGGCTACCCCGAGTGGTGAATAAACCCAGAGTGTGGGAGAATATACCTCGAATGTGTGGCAGTTGTAAAGGCATTCTTGTCCGTCTGGAGTTTACAAGCATGTATAAATAGCCCTCGGCGGGGGAGTGTAAAGGAGAGGAAGGCACATGTTCAATGAAACCAACCATGTTGTTTCGCCCGTGTTTTTCCTTTCGTCTTATCCCACTTCAAAGGTCGCTCGCGTGGCAACCAGGAGGCTTGGGCTTGAACAACACCTTGCGTGATTTGGTCATCAGGAATATACAATCTGCGTTCGACTGAAAAAGGCTCATTGGGTAAGCAGCTTGCACGAACCTGATGCTTATGTGGTAGCCAAGTAAGCCACGCAGACGCAGTCGCGCCAAGTCCTGAATTTGAGCTGTGCAGGGCACGGCAACGCAGAGATGCTTTTACGTGTCGCCGTCGCGTGGCCGGCCGGCTAGCAGCGGCACCGGCACGCGACGGCTTACCGAGACGAGGACGGTCAGACACATACAGGCACAGAGAAGACCCTGTTTTTCAATCTTCACCTGTGATCCGCCAAGGCCTGCAGGTGCACCGACGTAGTCGCCAAGACGCCAACTGAAATCAAACAGACTACCTGGCAGATCCATATACCGTTTGCAATCGGGTTTTTTGGACGGTTTTGATCTAGCGCATATGTTACCTTTCGCAAATCCTTGCAAAAGAGACGACGCCCATCTTTCGGAAAAAGCAGGGCTATTCTGTCCTGGCTAGACCTGTCGAGGGCATGTGCCATATGTTTGGTTCACAAAAATTCTTTTCATGATCCATGGAAAAACAGTGAAACACAGTAGCATCGTCCTGTACTAGGGGCATGAGACATGACCAAGCTCTCCAAGAAGTCGTCAGCCTGTTCATTTGGCTATGACTTGTCGTAAACGATCGTAAATTTCCAGCCAGAACAGTATTTTTCTCTCACACAAATCAGCCAGCAGTACTTCTTCACGAATCAGCAACCGAACAGGCTGCGTGTCTAGTTCATGCGTTTAGTTTTACCTCGTTTTAGATGGATCAGGGATTCATAATCTGACACAACTTTTCCGTTTTTATGTTGTAAAGTTCTTCAGAAGATGATGTTTTGTCCTGTCTGGACTTTCTTCTTTATCAATATATATGGGCAGCTCTCCTCCTTAATTGAATTTAAAAAGAAGAGTCTTACGCGACGGAACATCTTATGTAGCTGTACCACGAAGCGATGTAGATACACTGTTATACCTCGCTATCCTCTGTTGAATTTTTAAAAAAGAGTCTTAGGCAACGAATCATCTCGTGCAGTCGTAGTCGTACCAGAAACTGGTGTACAAACCTTACCGTTACGAGCATCTTCAGAGATTGGACTGGTAAATCCTTAAGATTGACGAAGATATCACAGACATCTCGATGTCGACGGGAACGTCGCTTATCACCGAAGGCACAACGCCGTTAAATCTTGAAATATTCGCTCCCACCAATAGTCGAACCCAGGACCTGAGGTTCTACTTAGGACCAGTTTGTTCGGGCTCCTCTCCAGCTCCAGCTGCGTCTCCTCCGGAGAAGTCCTACCAAATATTTTATAGGAGAGGAGCCTTGCATATATCCCCTGAGGCTGTAACCACTTGTTATAATTCTTTCTGCTATGAATTTTAATGGTTTTGCTAATTTCAGGTAGCTCAAAAACATCGAAACTGAGCCTGAAAAGTTGGGCGCCATTTTATCACGACAATCTTAGAGCAACTCCAGTAGGTTGGCTAAAATTAGTAGCCAAATTTTATTGTTTAGCAATTTTAAAAATATAAAACTCTTTAAAAAAGAAGGGTTCCACAACAACCTTACTATTTTACAAAGTTAGATAGCTAGCGCCCGTGGTTGGCTATATATGACCACCGAAAATTAAGAGATAGCCAGCTTCCTATTTTACAAAGTCAGCTAGCACATCTGTTGGAGCCTATTTTTTGCTACATAAATCGTAAAATAGCCTCCACAACAAGAATAAGTCAACATGTTGAAGTTGCTCTTAGGGTGCCAATTTTGAAATTCTGAATACACACCGCTCGTGAAGCCTCGCTTGGCGCATCTAAATTCCCGATGGCCATCTTAAGTATAGATTTTTGAAGACTAAGAAAAAAAAGCAAGCGAATGCTAGACCAGTTGTTCTGGCTGGGCGCCTTGCACCCTATGCCGGCTAGAGTTCGAACCCCCTGGGGGAGGATTTGTTGGCCGGAGGAGACGCAGTTTATCCGCGCGTCGAAAAAAAATCCCCTCATCTGTCCCACGCCTGCGTGAGAAGGTCTTCTTCTTAAACACAATGCCCGGGGTTGTTTTACCCTGCGGGTGGAGTATAGATTTTTCAGACTAAGAACAACTCAAAAATCCCATTATACTCATATTAATTGATGATAGGAATAGAGATTTTTATGTAAAAAATCCCTTCAACAACTTATTTAATCAGGTCTCCAAATATAATCATCATTTATTTTTGGATTTCTTGCTAAGTAAAAATGAAAGCAAGAATGAATCTCTAGAGTACTCATAATATATAGAAAATGTTTTTTATATCTTTCCACCATCTAATAACTTTTCTATGTCTTATGCGTATACTCTAGAGAGTCAGTCTCATCTACATCTTTGGCTAATGAGAATTTCGGAATAGAGGATACTATATTTGGAGATCTAAATAAATAAGTTGTTGGAGGATATTTTTGCAACCAAAATATCTATTCCTATCAATTAGGAATGATATAAAGAGACTTTCAGAGTTGCTCTAATAATATTAAAGAGTCTATTTTAATATATAACAAAAATAAAATAGATTAATCGTAGCTCAATCTATAATTTTTAGAGCCAAGAGTAAAAAATACATAGGTACTACGTAGTATTCTAAGCCAAAGCTCTACTAAATGGAACCGAAATGTTTACGCAGCATTAAGAAGGTTATGTTTGTTGGGTCGACACGTTCAAGGCATCAGCCGACAAAATAAGTTGGGCAAATGGCCGCCCGGGAAACATATGGTTGGACACCCGCGTTTGCCGTGACCTGGTGTAGGGCATCCCTTGCCACCAGCCCACCACCCGCCAAAGTACAGCAGGTGGTGACATCACGGCTACATGAGCGTATCCATGTCGAATTTTCATTTCCCCAAGGAGACAGAGGCGATGATCATATGGTATGGTATGGTACCCTGCTTGGCCGACGGGTCAAGATATATTCCACGGCAATAAAAGGCAAAAAAAAGAAATTGCTAGGGAAGATGCCCTGACATTGTTTTATCAACTCTTTTTTCAAGAAGAGGGGATTCTTTTATTTTGACACAACGGGAAAGATGCCTTGGAATGAAAAAGGTAAACGATTTTTTTCTTCTTGATGAGAGCAAGGGGTATACATATCCATTTTCTTTTATATTTCTTCGAGAGATTTTTTTTGATAAAAAACACTTAAAAGAGTGTTTCAGATATATCTCAAGAAAAACAAAGGTTGATACCATCGCTGGATAAAAAGACACAAAACGACCTCTAAAATATAAGAGTACATCAAAGACCAAATCAGTCGTCGTCTTCTTTCGGGCATCCACTGCCTGCGGAGTTTAAAGGTCGCACTGCAAAGACAACAAAGAAAAGGGCTACCTACAAACACCCTCGTTAAACACATGGCTTTGAAGACCGCAAAATCCACTCTGCTGACAACAAGATCTAGTATCCACTGAATGAGCATTGGCTGGAGGAATTCTCCAAGTAACACAGGCTTACAATTCTTCACCATCAAAACAGAGTGTTGAAGATTCAGAACCATCAAAACACAGCCAACCAATTGCTTCCTCTGGTAAGCACACCAACTGCCAAGATCTAAAGAAGATCAACAGATCTGATAGGCCAGACTCTCACGGGTCTTCCGTCGATGCCATATCTAACATCGTCGAGGTAGAGAGAGACCGGAGAAACCTTATTCCAAAGTACCATCGTCGCTACCGCCTCGTCGATGACAGCAGAACCAAACCCTAATCTAGAACTACAAAGAGAAAACCCCGCTCCTCTGTCCACGAGAAAGAAAGCAAAGAACCAAGAACTGACTAAAGTTTAAGAACGGATGGTCTCTGTGAACCCTTGGGGGGAACCAACACGATAAGGAATTATTATGGGCACTTCTAGCACTCAATTTTCTTTCTGCCGATGTCAAATCAGATGGGAGGAAAAATAGGCTGCAGCACTTTGATTTTCCTTTGTGGTTCTTCTCCTTTTCCCTTGCCCTTTCTCTCGAGGCTAGTGGAGCATCACACAAAATGCTTGCCATTGTACTAGTACTACTACGCGTCTACTACTGTCTAGTCACCACTTGGTGCCTTTTCTTTTCTGGCATCAATCGAAAGGTGGCAAAGAGTGTCTGTCCTTTCTACATAATAATGGCAGTGTGGGTGACCATTGCATTGCGGTTGCGCCCCTCCTCTTTTCTCAGTTCATTCAGCAACTAATACTACATGCTTTGTTGCCCCGGGAAGAAATAGAAAACCATGATGCTACACGCGTAGTGTTGTTTAGCATCTAGCATGGGCTCACCGCCGCACTCACTACCTTTTTCCCCGGGACAAGATCAAGATCGCGATCGCCGGCCGTTGGTTCGTTTTGCAACGGGTTTCCGTGGTCCTCTACCTGCTTCCCCTGCCTTCTAGTGCCAGAATTCGCCACTTTCTAGCCTATTCTCCCTTGTCTTGCCTGCCGCCGCACCGGCCATCCTCCATTCCTTCCGCAACTTGCACGGCCGCCCACTCCCACGGCTACGCGTGACACCGAATTCTCGTCTGCATTCGTCTTCGTCCCGTAGCGTTTTGCTTTTGCCATTGCTATGTACTCCCTCCATCCATCCAAAAATACGATTCTCGCTTTTTAAGTCAAACAATATAAAATTTAACTAAAATTATATAATATATATACTAATATTTATAATACAAAATAAGTCTCACAAATTGATTTATAAAATATATTTTCATAGTAAATCCAGTTAAAGATATAAATGTTAATACTTTTCATTATGATTCAATTAAAATTAAACTAGTTTGACTTGCACATAATTTATAGTTGCATCCTTTTGTGGATGAAAGTAGTATCACTCGTAAACTCATACGAACTACTAAGCCAGCTACGCAAAAAGCCTAAGGACCTGGGTTTTACACTTATTATCCCGACCGACCTCAAGCGATGTTAAAGCAAGAAGAATAGTGTTAAGGCACCAACGAAGGTTTTGTAACTTCATAGGAAAGCAAGAAGAATAGCGAGAAAGGTGAGAGTAACAGAGATGTAGATATAGATATAAATAGATATATATCCTGTTCGCTTGTTGGTTTCAGCCAGTCCAAACCAGCCAGCCAACAGTGTTTTCCTCTCAAAAAAACCAGCTCCAGCCAGCCCAAACCAGCACCAGCACCAACCAGCGAACAGGCCCATAGAAGAATAACGAAGGTTTTGTAACTCGAACAGCAGCGCGAGCGTCCGACGCTAGCGCTCGGATCAGATGTCCCGACGGTAGCAGTTCCTATTAAAGAAAGCCAAATTATGCCCTTGTTTAGTTCGCGAAATTTGGATTTTGGGGCTACTGTAGCACCTTCGTTTTTATTTGGCAAATAGTGTTCAAACATGGACTAATTAGGCTTAAAACGTTCGTCTCGTAATTTTCCACCAAACTGTGCAATTAGTTTTTCTTTTCATCTATATTTAATGCTTCATGCATGAGCCGCAAACATTCGATGTGACAGGTACTGTAACAACTTTTTAAAAGTTAAACAAGACGTATATAGACCCAGCCTCGACGCTACAAAACTCTTGCAAACCTGCAAGCAACCCACAAACAAAAGCAGCCGTCCTCCACTCTGCATCTCCCAGCATCATCAAAAGTTTAAAACCGCATAGGACCGAAAATCGCCATCCATCCACTCCACCAGAAAAAAAAAGCTTCCCAACCGATTAAACCCCCCTCGCCGAAACTCGCCGCCGTCTCCTCGCCTTCACCGGCTCCACCGCCGTCTCCCACGCCTCCGCCGTTTCCTCGTCGTCTGCCCGCCTCCGCCGTACCTGCCTCCTCCCTCGCCTCGTCGTTCACCAGTTCTCTCGTGCTGCCTCAACCCCGTGCCATGTCTGTCTAACTGACGCCTCGTTTATCGCGCTCTGCAGCGGCGGCTGGAGCAGGCTAGGTTACCGGAGGCCCCCCCGGCGCCCCCACTTCGCGGTCGAGCTGGAGGACACGCGTAGCAACGCCGGGTTCTTCTGCGGCGAGCTGTGGTGTGGCCTCATGGAGCCCAAGGGCGAGTTGGCCCAGAAGCGTATCCTTCCTTCTCATTTCGCTTCGCTCCCCGTACGGCTTATTATTTCTCTTTTCGTGGATCCCGTGGATGGATTCCTGGAGCTCATGCGATTGCTATTCTTGTTGTTGCGAGTTTTTTTTGGTTGGATCAATAGAGTTTCAGTAGCTGTTTTAATTTGAAGTACTGGAGTGTGGAATTTTGTCGCTCCTGTTGCTATTCAACTCCGTTTTTATCCTCCTATAAAAAGTTTTTTTTTGTTAATATATGGACTTTGGAAAACGAAAACAGTCTTTGCATCTGGATTGCCCTTGGATCACAGTTTGCCAGAACTTGTCACAGAATTGTCTATGCAGTTTTTTTTTTCTTTTTCATGAGCAGGCTGAGTAGAATTCTGATCAAAATTTTGATCCATTTTAAATTTATTAATCCTGACAGTTGACATTATTGAGCCTTTCCATTCTATCATGTTAGGGTTGCTATTAGCAATCCAGTAATATATGCTATTATTAGTAGCCCTTCATTATTGGGGTTTGAGAGATGGTGAGAGCTGAGCCAACTCCCATTTATTTGACAGGTACACCAACAAATATGGTGCCTGCACTGAAGGATTCCTGTATATTGGTTAGGTTGGCGTCGCATGTCTCAGTCCCTCAAATCTAGTTCAGCTAGAGTTCCTTGACCACCCTTGCATTTGTGAAACAGAAATGAAATTTTATGTACTTTAACAAAATAATCTATTGTTTTTTTAGATCTATCCCTATGAGCCATTGATGAAAGCTGCACAATATCAGCCTGATGTTATGTCTGTTGATCACTGTACTGTGGCTGTGGTTGGCATATTTTATTGGCCACTCCCCACTCGTGGACAATGACCCTTAGAAGTATATATTCTGTTTTCAAACCTTGACTTTTCTGTCATCCAGCTATTGAAGAAGCAATCGACAGCTTGAAGATTGATGCTAGCACGAAGGCAAGCAATGTCAACTTGGTGAGATTCTCATTCCTATACACAATTTACTAACTTGCTTATCTTCTTAGCGTATAAGGAACACCTTTCTTTCCTTCTTTGTCCTGTGGTTGGTTGGTTGTGCTATATCCTTCTTGATGCCTTTCATCTTCGACCCTTGTAGCCTGCTAAGAAAGATGCAAGTTCTTCTGATGCAGTATCTTGCATTTCCTCCGGCGATGCAGCTAGTACTGTGAAGGAAAGTGAAATGAACCAAGAAACTTCTTTTGGGGACCAAGGGATGTATTACTATGGATATTATTATCCTGGTAGGTAGATTATGATTTGATTATTTTCTTTTAAAAAGAAGTTCATTCATTTGCCTACTTGATTATTTAGTGCAGGTTCATATGGAGGATGGGATGAGAATGGCTACTTTGTTGGATATAATGGCCTAGAGGTGCACCCAGCAGTAAGTTATAATAATAGTGTACTTCATAAAGTCTCACATATGCCTTTCCTATTGTAGTCACCAGTGGTCCTAACCTTGAAGTCTGGTGCACTTTGTGCGCCTCTATGGTGGTACCAACAAGCTTTGCACCTGTTGGCTGTCATCTTTTCTTGACATGTTTGGGAAAGTGGCCTACTATTTTTAGTGTCACTCTTTATTCTTCTATTGTTATCCTTGTGCCAAAAATCTCTCTGCAGGATTTGTTAAACGATTTTTATTGCCATCGCTCTATATGCTGTCATGACCTCATGACTATTCTGCTGTACTGCTCGAGATAAACAATGAATGATTGCCATTGAATGAGTATACCTGTTTTTAGCGAGGACAAGTTGTTTTAGTTGCATGCCTGCTATGCAAGGAATTATAGTCAGTTCATATATATACTTTTCAATCCTACTTGAATGAAGTGTAAATTATGAGTGTTGTTTGAAGTACTCAATTTCAAAAGTGGTGATTGAATTGTTGCCTTTTTTTAGTTATTTGGCATCTTTCTTTTCCGGTCTCATCATTTCCAGGATGAACTGTTCCTTGACTGTGCAGCTGTTAAAGCTGTTTGCACAAGAACTTGTTTTATATCTGCCTTATGTTCCATTTCAGGTGGTTCAAGCTGACAATGGGTCATATCTGTGTTATCTTCCGGGGTATGAAAATGGATGTGCTTCTTATAGTCCGGTTGTTCCTGGAGGCATTGCTAGTGTGCATGGTCAATATGTCAGCACACCTGGCATTTTTGCTCAACCAATTGCTTACGGAACTGAACTAGTACCTGCATACTCATGGGACCCTTCTTTTGTTCTTCTGGATGGGGTTCAGGGACATCCAGTTGGTGTGCATCAAACAAATTATGCTGCAAGACCAAAATATTCTTCTAATAAGCATGCTATTCCTTCTTCGAAAGCTGCCCGCAGTGCAAAACCCGCAGCAGATACTGTCAAAGGATCATCATCAGGTCTAGAAACTGTACCAAATGCTGCTAATAGCAGCCCATCATCGAAGGGTGCAAATAAGGTAAACCTTGTAAAACATTGATCTTGCCATCTTGGCCCGTGCCCCATAAAGGTAGGAAACTTACTTTCACATGCTTGTTCTCATGCTAGGCATCTGGTGCTTCCATAACAAAAGGATATCTTCCATCTAGCAAGTTTGTGATGCATAGTAATAACCAAGGAAAAAACAGTGTTTATCAAAGCAAATGTATCAATGTGAAAGAAAGTGGTAGAAGCTGGAACAACGGTGAGAAGCTTAAGACGAGAAATAAGTTAAATGGACATGGTGATTCTGAATCTAATGAGAACAGCCACACTGATAACTCAAAACACAGTTTGAGCCCTCAAGCTGATGTTGGGTTGTCAAGTGCAGGGGGTGCTAACGCTAGCATACCTTCACATGTTGCAATAAGCAAAAATGCATATAATCTTTCAGATTTTGTTACAAAGTATGAACAAGCTCTATTCTTTGTAATTAAGTCTTACAGTGAAGATGATATTCACAAGAGTATCAAGTACAATGTCTGGGCAAGTACTCCTAATGGAAATAAAAGGCTTGACAATGCCTATAGACTTGCACAAGAAAGGATGGCAGAAAAAGGAACCAAATGTCCTGTTTTCCTTTTCTTCTCAGTAAGTACACGCTACTAATTGTTCCTAGAGAATTATTTTTTTCTCATGAACATCACCTTGAATCTCAGAGTATAGTGTCCCCGTGGTATTCCAACATTTGTTCTTATTCAATGTATCTAACTGTTGTTTGAGCACTTAGTTTCATGTGAGAAGTGCACAACAGGAAGCGATTACTTTCTAATTTATCTGTTTATTTTAAAATAACATGCCATTTGGTTTCTTTGTTCCATGGAACTTTTAGAATTCTGTTCTAGTAATCATTACAGCCATCTAAACATGGTGTACCAGTATGTAGGTAGAACATGGCAACCTTTGTTTTAACTATCTGATAACACAGTTCTGCCTTGGTTTTTTTCATACTTTGTTTCACATGTTCGTAGCAAGTTAATGAGTTGCATATCGAAGTGGCCCTTTTATGAAAAGGGTAGCATTATTATTTTTCTTCTGACCTTTTCATGTTGATTATTAAACTATAGGTTAATGCTAGCGGCCAGTTTTGTGGTGTGGCTGAGATGGTTGGCCCAGTAGAATTCAACAGGAACATGAACTTCTGGCAACAGGACAAGTGGAACGGTTTCTTCTCGGTAAAATGGCACATTATCAAGGATGTTCCTAATCCACAATTTCGCCATATAATTTTGGAGAATAATGAGAATAAACCTGTGACAAACAGCAGGGACACGCAAGAGGTAACCTTCCAATACTTAGCAAGAGTTTCTTGCTATTTTTTACGGCAAGAGGTGGAGCTTTGTAAGTTAATTTTCATTTCATGGCAATATGTCTGGAAATCTGTTTGTTCATAATATTTCATGCTATTGCCCATGTGATTTTCCTTGCTGTTGAAACAATCAATCCTATTTGTGCTCTGTGTGATTAATGAATCTTCCATGATCTGAATGATTCTCTTGATTCTTCTATTTTGTATGAAACAAATGCCAACAACTTTATAAGCATCGGAACCACTTTTAGGTTCTGGTCTATTCTATTCTTCAGTTTCCTCTGTTTTACTAATCAGTTAGGGTGTTTCGTTCTTGTCTAAATATGCTTTTCTTGTACTGTAAAGACGGTTTTTGGTTTAATTGTACCACTGATTATGTATGATTTCAAATCCAGGTCAAATTTTCACAAGGTACAGAGATGTTGAACATTTTCAAGAACTTTGCATGTAAAACATCAATACTGGATGACTTTGACTTCTACGAAAATCGGCAAAAAGTAATGCAGGACAGAAGAGGCAAGCCGCTTACTACGTCATTTGATCACCCATTGGTATGGAGTGATGAACTGAATAGTCTGAACTCCTATTCTTTAACAACAATATTATTTGTTTCTATTTGTTCATTGTATTTCCTGACCATATAAAGCAGATAGTTTTACTTGGTCAAAATGGCAGTGCTATGCTTCTTGGTTTATGTTTGGTGGAAGGTTATGGGTATTTCAATTGAGACCTAGAACTTCCTATAGGAATACACAAGGAAATAATACAATTGGCCAAAATAGATAATGAGAATCATCTCCATATCATTTTACATTTCTTAACAAATATAATCTGTTTGGCTATTCTAAGTGCTTTTTTTCTGGGTAAAGAACTTGTCATTTTGAATTCTTTGGTCCAGTATTTTTTTCTGTAACTTAATTGACCCGATTGGCTTTTGGTGACAGAATATTTTAGTTGCACATATTAATATCTCCTAATAATAGTAATCTGTCATTTACATTATCATTAACAAATAGCGATTATTATGTCCCTCATTGATTTTCATCTTCTATGCAGTCAAAAGCTGAAAAAACTGCAGAAATTAAAAGGCAAACACAATTGGTAAGTGCCACAGAATTTGGTAGAGCCAAGAGTAATGAGGGGCAGGGCAACAATGTTGGGATGGTACATGATACAACCAAGGAAAATGAGGAGCAGAGCAACAATGTTCCAGAAGTACTTGATGCCTGTAGTAACAAGGAGCAACCCAACAAAGTTGCAACACAAGGATGATGCCATGCGCTAGTTGAACTGGGGAATGAGATAGCCTCTGGAATGGACTTCAACCTGAATGATAAATTTGATGTGTACAATGTCAAGAAACCATCATTTGTCATCGGTTCTCTTCCATTTTCTCATGCAAGCGGAAAAGGAAAAAGAAAGTGAAGCTATGGGACTGTCTTCCCACGAGAAATGTTCAATGACTGGGAAAAAGGTTCTAAGGCACATTTAGGTTGAGCTCCCCTGGTGCTAAGGCATTAGAGCCCCCTCCTTGTCTATTTTATTTTTCATCTCGGAGGGTATTTTCTTTTCTTGTGTTGTGTCTTTTTTTCTCTCTTGTTATTCCTATTACGCTGCTGAGATTTTGCGAAGCAGTTTGCGCTGTGGTCCAAAGATGCCAGTTTGCCTTATGGCTGGGTGTGCTTAAGGGAGTGTTTGTTGCTTTGTGGGTTGTCTTCTAGGATGTGGTATGTGTTGACTGTTCCTATTAGAATCTGTGCACTTGTTCTAGAAACTGACATAGAAGAAAAGAGAAAAAAAAAGGATTGTGAGGGATTTGGAATTAATTACAATAACTTAATCGTATGTTACTGTTTCTTCCATTATCAACCAAAGGAACAAAAAGGATTTGAAAACCTGTTGATGTGTACTTCCCCGATACCATGTCTCCTGCAGCCTGCTATGAACCTTTCGTTTTCGCTTGGTTCTTTATGGCCAAATTGGGTGTTCGATTCGGACATCTGTGGTTGGCCTTCGCCGCGTTCTGATGAATGAATGTATTTTTTTGAACGCAATGATGAATGAATATACAGTATGTGTAAGACTGGAGCACTTTCCAGAGTGATTTCGACGGATTGTGAACTGACATCCAGTCCTTTCGGAAAGGGACTTCCTATCTGTTTGCTTTCTGGGCATATGTATAAAGGTCACTTTATCGATGCTATCATATTGCCTTTTGAAACGTTGAGAAGAATTTTGTTTATGAATCAAATATGCTATGGGGAGTGGACGGCCTTTTCTGAGTCGGCTGATTGCTTGCTCTTCAGTGAGGAGCAGAGGGTGTTGAATTGCTTGGTCTGTGAAGTGGCAAGCTTCAGCTGCTTGTTCGCGCTGTTAAAACATACATAGTATTTTGTAACTGGAGATGGTTCTTTCCTATGGTAGAATAGGTCCACATGATTCTTCCTTTCTTTTCAGATGCTTCTTTTAATTGCCAATCTTTAGCTGCTATGATTACTTTCTTGTTTGATAACGAGTGATTATACCTCACAAACATGGATTTAAGGTTAGCTTATGGAGAGAACCCATGCTAAGCTATTGCTATTTTTTCCGCTATGTCAACTATATGACTTTTATATTGCACTTTGGCGCTGCTAAATTGTTTGGTTGTAGCTTTGAAATAGTGTTGCTATTTCAATTTTAGCTATAAGAGTGACAATTTAGTTATTTCACCCTGTTTGCTGATGCTGAAATTTGGCTTATGCTGATGCTTATGTTGAAATGTTGTGAAAGAAAAACACTGTTCCATGTTTGAAAAGTAGTTCTGAATAAGCTCAAGCGAACAGGAGATTATCTATTTTATATTTTGCTGCTAAGTTGGTCTTTTGAAAAATTGAACACTTGAGTCTCATGTGCCATATTAAGTAATGTTTCCTAGACCCCTGATGCCTTGTAAATATATTTGTGTCATCAAATTTCGTGCTTGTATTTTTTATGGTTACCTTAAAACCGCTATATGTTATTGTTCTGTTACAACTGTGCTATACTTTATAGCTTCTAGATGCCGCTATTTAGTATAGCCTGCAATTTAAAACCTTGCTCACAAATCATAGGAATATATGCCCAGTTTGGTTTGGAGTTTATCATTTTGTTACGGAGTAATAAACTAATAATGCAACCATGTTTTAGCGAAGTGTTGTGCTACGACTGAAAAAAAAATCCATGGATTAAATCTGCTCCTAATTTTTTTGATCGGGTACAAGTTGCACGCAGGTAACCCATACACTCCACACTCACACCATATGTACACACGCGTGCGCGTTCGTACACACGCAAAGAAGAGATTGGGAGACGTTACCTTCAGTGCGTGGGAAACGCGCAGTACCATCAAATGCGTACACATATACCCTAAAATTTCTAGGCCCATTCGCAAATCTGCTCCTGATTTTTACTGTCGTCGGCGAGCGATCTTGCCACCCTCGGTTTCTTTCCTCTTTTTTTTTTTTGGACCCCTCGGTTTCTTTCGTAGGCGCCGCAAAACACGAATCCTTGCGTTCGTTGGGTCGCTGAAAATGTTAACCTGAAGGCAGCCCATTGTTGAAGGATAATCAAAGAAATTGTCAGCCCAACCCAGTACTGCCCAAGTCTTCAGCTGCTTCATTTCCCGTTAGGCCGTTTATGGGCCTAAATACTTAAAACTGAAGATGGCCTAAATACACCAAATTTACCAGGGCAGAAGTGGTGCCAGTTTTCAGTGTTCGATGAGTACCTGCACTTCAAGGCGAGGAGCACTGACCAGAGGTTCATGGAGCTGTTCGACGCGTCGAGCTTGATGCACCTGACGGCCTCACAGTATTGAGCACTGACCAAAGCCAGTGGTTTCCAAGCGGTCCCGATCCTGCAACCATGCTGCATCAAGCGACAAGCTGTTTTCCCCTGTTGTTTCCGAAGCAACTCGGCAGAGAATGATGCTGGAACCATGAGTGTCTCCGGTGAGAATCGATAGGCAATGGCCTTGGGTTTTGCTGTGTGAGTGCTGTGGTTGCTTCGTGTTCGACTGATTTCAGATTCTGAACGGGTGATTTCTATAATGAACACTGGGAGTGAGTAGCACGACCTGCATTACCCTTGAACGTTGTACACTGAACATGCCTGAACTCTGAGTTGAAGAAGATGTTTCGACGCCCCGAGTGGAACGGCTAACAGGGTCGCAGACACTGTCCGCGTTTTCAGAGGAAATGGACGGCAGATTCTCACTCCAGTGCCAAATCCAACGGATGAGCGTCCCAATCGGGCCCTATAAGCAAGGACACAAAACCACGGCGCCGGGAAGCCCCGAGCCCCGCGCCGCCTCCCCCGCTTGTCCTAAACCTCTAAACCCTAGAGCGGCGGCGGCGATGGCCCCCAAGCGCTCGGCTCCACCTCCGCCCCCGGTTGCCTCCTCCGAGGAGACCGCCTCTGGTTCGGGCTCCGAGGAGGAGGAGGAGGACGACGACGACGAGGAGGAGGAGGAGATCGCCCACTCACCGCCTCCGGCCGCTCCCAAGAGCATTGCTCCGTCGCGGCCGAAGGACCAGGAATCCGAAGCGTCCGATGAGGATGAAGATGGTGAGGAGGAAGAGGAGGACGAAGAAGAAGAGGACGAGAAGGCCAACCACGTGATCCCTTCTTCCGCCACCAAGAACCCGCCTCCGCCGCCGCCGACTCGCGAGGAATCCGAGACTTCCGACGAAGAAGAGGAGGAGGAGGAGGAGGAGGCGGACGACGAGATGCCGCAGACGAAGCTCGCTCCAAATCAAGAGATGGAGGCTAAGGGCGCAAAGCGGTCGGGCGCGCCGTTCCAGCGCACCTGGTCGACTGACGACGAGTTCCGCATCCTGGAGGCCCTCGCTGCGCACCGCCTGGAGCACGGCTCGCTGCCTCAAATAGACGTGCTGGCCAACGCCCTCGCTGGCAAGCTCGACAACAGTGGCTGCAGCCTCTCCGAGCTCAAGAGGAAGGTGAAGAGCTTGCAGAGCCGGAACACCAAAGCGGTCAAGAAGGGCGCGCTGCCGAGCAAGGATCACGACCGCCGTCTCTTCGACCTCTTCAAGAACGTCTGGCCTTCCGTTACCAAGGCGGCTACCAAGGCAGCGCCTACCAAGGCGGCGGCTAACAGTGGTGCTGGGAGGGAGCCTGACGAGATGTGCGAGCTGTACCCATACCTTGCGGAGGAGGTGAAGGCGCTTCAGAAGGCACACCCGGGCTTGTTCAAGCGGGAGTTTGCGATGATCGACGATAGCAAGGCCCGTGCACTGGACGAGAAGATCAAGAGGCAGAGGCATGCACAGATGAAACTGCATCTGCGCCGCCACGACCTGACCAAGGTAGTGACCAAGACGCTCATGGACCTGGCTAAGTGAAGGGTGGACTGGGCTGAGCAGTATCTAGGCATTCTATCTTATGGCATTCAAATGCATTGATGCTTGATTACCAGCTAATTTTGTATCCTCTACTGAAGTATGGTAGCTGAATCTCGACTTTGTTATGTATCTGGTGTTGAGTTTTTTGTTGTTCATAGTGATCGAGACTTGTTGCAGTGTCAGTGTTAAGTCAGGAAGTGCCTGGATGATGTTCGGTTATTCTGTTTTGTTGTTGGTTCTGAACTTGGCAGGATAGATTTTGTAGTCTTAAATTTGTCAGTCTGAGCTCTAGTAGTATGGAAATACTATGTTATTGTAGTAATATGGAAATACTATGTTATTCGGAACCCCGAGGACTTCACCATCCCGCCTGGCTGTCCACGCCGGGCGCCGCAGCTGCTGCCGGGTGCGGGCGCTGAGGGGATGGCACCAACACCACATGGGCCGCTAGATGTTTCTGGACGGGATGCCGTGGTCGCAGCGAGGCTGGATACAGCCGTCGAGGGTGAAGAGCAAGCTGTGTTGGCTGCCAAAGTAGTCCAACTGGAGGCTGCTGAAGTTTCTGCACGATCATACAAGGGATCTGGAACCTAATCAAGCAACAGAGCAGTCCAGGAGACGGGAATCTTCCAGAGGAGTGATTGCCGCCGTGGTGAAGGAGAGGACTGCAGACGGAGTGAAGGGAAAGGGTGATGTGGTCAAGGTGGATCAGCTACGAGTGGAGAGACTACCGCTGCCGTTGTTCAAGCTGTAGCGGAGTCCCCTGCTCGGAGCACCGAGTATTTGATCTTGCCGTCACCAAACAGGCGGTTTAAGAGAACTATCACGTCTTTGGCTCAAGGGACAGCATCTCGTCAGTGGATCTTTTGGGTCAGTGTACCGATCAACGAGTAAGTTTGGATCTTACTACTTCATGATAATTATACCATATTCGCATTATTGAGTTTTTGTTTGTGTCATAATTAACTAGGACAGAGAGGACAGTGAAAGCACAGCTACATTTTTGCTCTGCAAGAATATGCATAGTACTGTATTGCTGAAACTGTGTTTATGATCTGGTATATCAGCTATCAAGTTCACTAATCTTAGTGTGCATAATTGGGATCTTATGGAGCTACTAGCAGTTTTCAAATATATTGCAATCGATGTAATACTTCTCATTTTAGGCGTGCTTAACTATTGCCTGACTTTCAAAAGAATATACTGGACATCAGTTTTCAGTTGATCCTAAGTCAAGTCTTATTCGTTGGATTTTAGTCTATCTTTGGAATCTTTGGTTGAGGGAATTAAAATCTCCTGTTGTTTCATGCCGAGTCCTGTGTCCCATCTGAGCTTTCACTTCATTAGGATTCTCTGTGCCAGAAACAATATTTAGTTATATATATAATCATTATAAGATTGGCATGCATATATCGATCTTTTCACAGGTTGCCTGTGATGCCGTTTCTTGATGTTGGCTAGCATTATATGAGATCAATTTATCATTTTCATAGGAACTCCAGAGTTCACAAATTATTCTATTATCAAATGCAGCCAACAGGCTATTTGGTGGGAAAACATTCAGACAGTTTGTTGAACACATACATCCTGTGGAACACAATATTTCAGAGACTGACGTCTAACATGTTTTTTACAGTGATGGCTTTTTCTTTTGCTGTCAAGGAAGTATCATTAATGGACCAAGGACTCAATGCAAAACAACACATTCTGCAGCTTGAACAAGTGAGTTATGAATTATGCATGCTTGAGAATTATGCTGATTACGCTGCTTCAAACATGTTTCTCAATCATCCAACTATTTTTCTTGACTTCCACTGATAATAGGTAATTATTTTGTTTCACTGTTTCAGGAGATATCTCTCTTGAGTCGTTTGGAGCATGAAAATATAGTTCAGTATTTTGGAACAGATAAGGTACTAAACTCATTTCTATAGTCATGAAATTCATTTCCAGAATAAAACTATGATAAGCATACATTTATTTTCTATAATAAAATTTGCTCTATGTGGTGATTGCTTTGTTGTGCTCCGTTTTGTGCTCTCGTATTACATGCTATCTTCAAGTATATGGCAGCTGTCCATCGTGAACGTTTTTTTTAATGTTAAATTTGTGGGACGAATTCTTTGCAGGAAGGTGGGAAACTATATATTTTTCTTGAACTTGTTACTCAAGGATCTTTGGCAGCTTTATATCAAAAATACCGTTTGCAAGATTCTGAACGGGTTGCACTATCTACATCAGCGGAATGTTCTGCACAGGTGAGTTAGGATTGAAATAGAATGATACATCAATTTGATTTTCTACTTTATATCTGGATATAAGTTTATCTTATCTAGATATTGAACATGCTCATCCCCTATGTTACTAGACTAGAGATATAAAATGTGCCAATATCCTAGTTGATGCAAGCGGTTGGTCAAATTGGCAGATTTTGGACTTGCAAAGGAGGTATTCACTGCGACATTCTAAACACCGTAAGATTCATCTAAGTTCTACATCTACATGTTGTCCTGACTCTTTCTAATTTGCATTTGCAAGATGTCAATTTTGAGCCAAGCAAAATCTAGCTAAGGGAACTGTCTACTGGATGGGCCCCTGAGGTTAGTATGTGCAGTTGTGGTTCTGCGCCTATCTCAGTGATCTTACAGTACCATGTTGAATTCTTAAAATAATCCAGAATATAATTCTAAGTATCTCAAGTGGAGATTTCCCAAAAATATCCTTGCTGTTTAAACCTTAATGATGTGCCTTTCCGTAGTTCAGTTACTTGACAATGGCAAGTTTGATACTTATGAGCCCGCTTTTGAAAATCAAGCTAGCTAGTTGTAACTGAAAAACTTGTAAGTACTGTGACAAACAAAAGCGTGATATGACTTCAAGCTGTTACTTTACTTTGTCACAAAAGTGATGATCAAATTTGGTCTTGCAAGTTGCGACCCAATATTGTGGGCATTTCCTGATGGCATATTTTCATTATTAGGTTGCTAAGGCCCACAAGGACCTCCAGCGGACATATGGAGTCTTGGCTGCACAGTTTTGGAGATGCTGACAGGCAATGTGCCATACCCTGATATGGCATGAGTGAGTGATTGTGCCTCCTCAATTTTCTGCTGCAGCAGTAACAAACTTGTATATACAACGGAATTTAAAGCTTAAACTTTGAATACAAGAAGAAAGAAACAAGATTCGTGTGGCTACCTTTCCTGACTGATAGATTTGCTGTTTGTCTATCTTTGTTTGTTTGTGCAAATGTCATACGGTGGACCAAAAATAGCAGTAGTCTTGGTCTAGATGATTCCATTATTTTTATGAGAAATATCGTAAATGCGCACACACAAGTAGCACCTCTCTTGATAGAAAGCTATACTTTCATGGTGAATGATATCATATTTCTCCTGTTTTGTAGACACATGCTTTGCTTAAAATTGGTAGGGGAATACCACTAGAATTTCCTAATACATTATCAGAAGATGCGCGTGATTTCATAAAGAAGTGTGTCCAAGCAAATCCAAATGACCGGCCATCTGCCGCTCAGCTATTTGAGCACCCTTTTGTGCAGAGACCGCTGCAACAATATGGCGCCTGATGTTCTCATTGATTGCTAACATATTTGATTGTACATAAGCTGGTAAGTCTTCCAGTTTCCTATTAAACAAACAGCTGGTAAGATGTATACTCCTGCAGCAAAAGGGAGCACATGATATGAGCGTTGTGACAGAACCGCCCAATTTATACAAGATCAAGTACGGCTGTCCCCGCTAACACGTTGACATACGCATACTTTCACTCATATAAACCCGGTAGTCCGCCGAGTGTCTCGAAAGACCTCGGTAAATCAACATCACAACCAAGATCGTGGGATTAAGCAAATACACATCACATACACAGGGTTGCAGCGGAAATAATATTACATAAGGTTTCACAAATAAAAGTACAAGTTTGGGTTTCAAAACCGCTTAGTGAAAACAACATAGCTTTCAAATGATTACATTAATATAAGTTCCAAATATATTGCTAGCATAAGTGACATCATCCGACAAAAGCATATAGATGAGAAGTAACTATAGAATCACCGAGCCCACCGGCGGTTAGCCACCATCTTCAACAGGCCGTGAACTCCACCTGCAACATGGTGGGATAAACCCTGAGTACTCGAATGTACTCAGCCAGACTTACCCGTCGGAAACCAAAACAAATGACACCAAGGATCATGCATAGCTTAATTTAGTGGATCTGGCTGGACAACCTTTTTGCATAAAAGCTTGGGTAACCATTAGCATTATTCACCTGTACTAGCAGCGACTTTTAGCCATAACCTACCATCTATATTAGCACCTGTACTAATCAATCACTTGATTAAGTTGCAAACAATAATAACCATATCAGGTATTTCATGGCTCATTGTCATTATCATCATCATCATCATCATTTAACCATATCTTTAAATTTAGTGAATCTATGTTGCCGCTGCTCAGTCAAGTTCTCACTATCCGGGAGAGACGGCGATTCAAATCGATTCCTATCCAGCTGGAGGGGTATTCCTAAACACAAACCCTGCTTCTCCTGTCGGAGTCGCAAACAAGTCACCTTTGGTACGATTCAGGAGTCGCGAGTCCGATCAGATCGACATTCTCAGAGAACCACTCTGCCAAGGTTGTTCGGGACTCTAACCCGCCTTGGACTTATGCCAATGGCTCTCCGCACATCCTTACTACCTCCAGAATGTCGCCACTGCTCGCGTCCCCGGCCTGAGTCGAGCTACTAGGCTTCGCGGTCGGAACGACTTATCCGGCCAGCTAAGTGTTAGGCTGCGTTCAACATGACATGAGGACGTACAACGTATCGGTCCTTAAACGACTCAGACGGAGTCACTATGTTCAAACCTACACAAGACCCCGTCCGGTCTTAATTCATTATTCACATGGTTCTTTTCCACGATAGCAAATATAGCCAACCGTGACCCACCTCATCCTAAAGCTCGCAGGTGACAGGAAATCACCTGACTTCTACCGCACTAAGCATGGCTAAGCATATAACCCGTTCCTGAACTTAAATAGGATTGCAGTGCGATATCTGGATAAGGAAGGATATATAATGCAGCAATTGGTTCCAACCAATTCCTATACTTAATGCATCATCAACAATAAAAGGTACTCAAAGTATTTGCAAAAACATGGGAGGCTTAATATGCTCCGGGGCTTGCCTGGGATCCGACACAAGTCAGTTCAGTTAGCTTGCACCGTCTTGGTGACATCTCAGGTCCTAGCACTTGTCCAGTCCTTCCACCTTCGGGATAGGTCCATCAAACGTCGTCTCCAGGTTTGGCTCCAACATCTCATCCTTCACGTGGTGCATCTAGCGTACCTAAATGAGATGCAAGATGCATGTGTATGAATGTGATGAATGGTAACACAAGATGCATCACACATAAGCATTTAAGACAAACACAAGATTATGCAAGACATAGACACCAATAGCTATTTAACTAACATCACACAACCTATCATGCTAAGATGGCAAAGAAGACGACAACACCAAGCATGACACAAGTTTTCCAAGATCTCAGGTGCTCTAACTCAATCATCATTCAAGGCATAAGTCACACTTAACAATATACAAGCAAACACTATAATTGGAATCTGCCAATTTCTGGACATGCAAACAGCAGCTACAAGATTTAGCTATAACTGGAGTTACACAAGTCCAAATGACTTGCAAGAAGACATTTTGGAAAGCTTATGAAATTATCTACATTTCATCTATAACCAGCATAGCATGATTCACAAGTTAAGTAGGTCGAAATTGTACATTTACAGAAACTGATCCACGATTGACAGAGAGCAGCCATTTCTAAAACCTAACTTTAAACAGGCATAACTCACAAACTACAAGGCCAAATGCCACCAAATTTTAACAGCAGCTAGATACATGAATTATCTACAACTTTTGTATAAACAAGTTTCACAACAAAGCACATTAGCATGAAGAACTTTGCTAGGTTCCCAGATCTGTCCATAAACCACATTTGCAAGAAAATAAATATTAACTTATGTTGCAAACACATAATTAGGCAAAACCAACTTTACCAACATGTCACACATGACTAAACAACACCAGAAAACCTAGTGTCCATGGCCAAATAAATTCTTTTAATGCATTTCTTAATTTATTTTAGATAACAAGGTGACTTAATGAACATATACCAAAAGTATACAATAAATTCTACAAAAATTACAGTGGCTCACATATCCTCTCAATAGTCTACTGTACAAATTTCACTCCATTTGAATATGTATAGCAACCTCTATGAAAAAGACAAGTCGCTAAAGCAAGAATTCATGTGAGAGCAAGATAAACCAATAACTCACTCATACTTCATCCAATACTCATGAAATTTTTACCACACATCAACTATCACATGAGTAGCATGCCACAAAAATTTCACTTCATTTGGAGCCCTAGATCTACAGTTATGAAAAAGACAAATACCACTAGCATTACAAACCTAGCTGCATAAATATATTTTTACAGCTAAAACTTTAAAGTAAAACATGTAATATTATAGATCTAGTGCATAGAGAATTTCACAAGGATTCCAAAAAGTCCTCATTTGCTATTTTACGAATTTCCTATGAATTACTATGATTTTCTAAACTTTCAGCCGATTTAAAACAAATAGGTCCTCGAGGTACTATTCACTTGAGTCAATGACAATGCAGTTAGGCCCTTGACCTTCGTCGAATTCTAGCACGGGGTCCCTGACGGAGTCTGGGAGCAGAGGAGACACTGGGCTTCTCCGAATCCGGCCGGAGAGGCGGCAGTCGATGGCGACGAGTGGCGGGGAGCAAGTACGGTCCCGTCGCGCTTCGATGGTGCCTCGGCTCGGCCCGAGGAGGAGTGTGGAGGGTCGCCCACGTGAGCGATGGCGTCCACGGCACCTCGCCGGCCAGCGGCTGCAGGGGTTGGACGGCTTGCCAGCCAGGAGCGAGCGGGCGGTGAGCACCCGGGGATCACGCACACTCATGGGGCCACTCAACTCGGCCGGAGACAGGCCGGTTTAGTCTGGCCGCGCGCACAGGTGTCCACGGCAGCCGCGGCACCGGTGGCCGCGCGCTACGGCGACGAAGGAAGGCCGAGGATGGTCGCGCGAGGCAAGGAGAGTACGGCGGAGCCGGTGACGAATCATGCAGGCTGCCAGCGCTCGGAGGTGGAAGAACGACGGCGAGGTGCACGGCTCGGCAGAGTAATGGCGGCAATGGCGGCCGCTTCGCCTCGGTGCTTCAGACGCCACAGCGGGGAGAAAGCGAATGAGGGCGAGAGGAAAAGCGCATTTGGACGCGGCCTCCATGCGGTTGACAATGAAGCAGCGCGCGCCAGTCGGTCATGGCGCCAAGGCGGCCACACGCTGCGGCAACGACCTGCGGCGGTCGGGGCATCAGAGCAAACTGAAATTTCGATTCAAAGATTCAAAACCGAGCTTCGACAAATGATACTTGACAGCGCTTCGATCTCCCAAACCATGATGATCTAGGATCCGGTGTAATTGACAAAGTTGGATATCTAAGTGAGGGCTACAACTTTTCCAATTGGAGCTTGAGCTCATTCGGCTTGGTTAGGGAGCTACAAGGCTGACAAGTCAAGTACACGAAACTGAAAATATGTTCTCAGACTTAGAAAATTTCCAAGTCTCCAATTAGACCTAAAAACTGACTTGTGGGCCCTTTTTGAGCATGTTCTGCACATTTTCATGAAATGGTCATAAAATAACTTTTGTTCCTTATAAAATTTTCTACAACTTTGCTTTAGGTTGCTCAGACATGCAAATACTCTAAGCTATACTTTTTAAACAGTCAAACAAGAGAGCTCTAGGGTCAACACTAGTCAAACCATTCCTTGGAAACATAATTAGGCAACGTGGTCAACATGAACATTGTTCCTAATGACATTCTAAGTGTAGCTAAGTTGTTTAAGAGGATAATTGGCCACACCACATATGGGTCACACCAAAATCAAGCATCATATGAATTGAAACCAGGAAAACAAGTGAAATGTTACTTTTGTTTCAAAGCCATGTTTCATATGTTTCATGAGTTGGTTGCATAGTAATAACTAACCATGTTTCACTAAAGTATGTAACATGTTTCAACAGTGAGTTGCACAGTTGCACTTAAGTGTTGTACACTATTCACTTCACAAAACAACACACATGAATATAAACATATGTTGCAATGTTTCAAAAGCATGTTCCAAACAATCTAATCTCATGAATGAATGAACGATGCTCATGTTTATGAAATGCAAGTAGAGTTGTTTGAGCAAGGTACCAAGGTTTGGTTGACTTCATTGGTTTCCATTCACTTGATAAAGCAATTCATGCAAAGGTATGACTTATCATTTCATGTGACTTTTTTATTCCAAACTTCATGAAACTTTTCCAGTGATCACTATAGATAGAGGGTGATGTGAGACACATGAAACCAGTTTCATTAACATCGCTCAAATATATATATATATTTTGAAAAGGGTTATCATGTAAACAAGGCGTTTTATCCAAATTCCAGTTGAGCTCGATTTCATACATTTGACTTTGACTTCTTCAACACCACTTGATCTGTCATGTTTGAGCTCAAACCCATTGCTTAACTGGTGACAAACACCTGGGGTGTTACAAGCGTCTCAACAATAGCACCGGAAACAGTTAATTTGTATCAAAAAAATGTGGTACATACCCTTGAAATTTGCTGCACAAGCTGAAGTAGCAGCAGTTATCCACTGGTACGAGTAAATATATGTTCCACATCCAAAACAGACAGACATGAGTACCACTGCAGTAAGAAGCATATCTATAAGTTTCCTGAAAAGTTCTGCATGCTTTGTATCCTCCATTTCAGTCTTGAATTTCTTCTCTTTGAAAGAGGCTTTCTGAAATCCCATACGAACTTTGATCTTCTCTAACATGTGTGAGTCGGAGCTCAGAGCTAACTGAGATCGGCTCAATTGCAATTTTCTCATAGTAAGTCCTATTTCAAGCTCCTTGAGCTCATTTGAACGAGCTTGCTCATTCAGAGATCTCTCAAATACACTAAGGATGTGCTGATCAATTTCTGGATTAGATCTGCTACGAGTAAGGTGAACCAGCTGATGATTGATGCCCGCATGAAGAACAATCTGATTATTCATTGAACTTGAGGGCATGTCAGTCTGGACATCATGTATCTGACTTGGTGAATCAGCACCGCCCAACTTTATTTCAGGTAATGAATCAGCACCACCCAACTTGATTTCAGGTACAGAATTACCATCTTTGTAAGAACATTGCGCCATATCTTGCTGATAGACAGGTGTTTCATTGATAAGGTGAATCGTTCTCAATGTACTACCAAAAGCTTTCTCAAAGTTACTCATGAAACTCTGAAATCTGTCACCATAAATCTACACCGCAAAAAAAGGAGATATAAGAAGCTTATGGGAAGCGGAAACAGAGTAGTGAAAAAGAAACTGGCCTGCCCATACATTTGTTAAGGACTCCTTCACTGCCGAGGTACACATCTGCGTCCAGAATTGGTGTGAGGACATCCATAGTTTTGTTCCAAACAGCAATCATTTATGAGAACACGCATATGTACCTTTGAGAGGACATCAGGTCGTAATCTTCCTTCAGAACCACTGCATCTATTCAGAACCTGTAAGAGAAATAAGTGTTAGCTTTTGAAGCTGATTGGTGTTGCCCCAAGTAGATCCACCTAAATCGTTTCACTAATTGCACAATTTGAGTTACTGATAGAATGTACTTCCTCCTATTAGGCCAAAAATATAAGTAGCAAACAGTCTAGCACACACTATCAATTAGAATATTAGGATGAGATGCTCATACATTTACACCTTGATACAAAAAAGCATGCAGTGCTTAAGATTCAAACTCACAGAATTTAAAAAAAAAACAAAAATAACAGTTAACAACAGAACACAAGTCAAACAGAACTATAATCAAGATAGGCATTAAAAATCAAAGTATCTCGTCCCCAGCCCTTTAACTATGTCTCATATGGCAAGTTATGAACTGAACAGCCAAAAATAATCTTTCATGAGCCAAACAAGAATAGTAGGATCTGATTCGTCCAAAGTTCCTTTACTTTTTTTTACAGAGGTAACCCACCTTTTATAGAAAGTATATACAAGTATACAGTTCCTATACTTTTCCCCCAATCGGAACTGAATAGTTCAAAATTCTTACACATTTTGTTCATTTGAATTGAGGCCTTCTTCAAACAACATTATCCCAAGTTCGACAGAACTCATCAATTTTGCACTGAATCAAATAGAAATCTTAAGTGGCTTGAGCAGCACCTCATGTTTGGTAGAACATTATGCAGTCACAAACTCCATTAAAGATCAGTGCAGCTGGGTCTTGAGATACTGTCACACAATGCAAGCGCCACTGGGAGAGCCAAATAATCACAATTCAATGAACAACATCCACTTGGATGGCAGAAAGAAAAGACTAGCTTCTAATCACAATAGTACCAAACAATTGCTGAGGGTATACTGGAACAACAATTTGGGTCAGGGGCAGCTTAAACTCTTTATTCCATACAATACAAGCATGGCACAAAACAACAATTTGGGCCTAAATGGAACTACCAATTAATGAATAAGTAGTAACCAACTACATATTCTTGCGAACGCTCGCACAAAATTCTAACCATCCAAACATGGCAAGGCAAGCTGGACCGCATGAAGGGCGTAAAGATTGAATCTTTGGGTCTTTCCGCCGCGTAGACGGGAAGAGAAAGAGGCAAGATACATCCCGCTCCCCTGGGCAAGCACCGCCGCGAAGGACATCCCGAGAGGCAGCGCGAGATCCTGCACATCGCCGCCACCGGCTCTCCCCCCTCCCCTAACGGCCACCTGCCGCCGCCGCCGCAGGTGCATCCCCTTCCGCATCCAGGAGCGCCCGGACGCCAAGCCATCGTAAGACGAGGCCGACGACGCCGACGAGGACGCCCCGCCGGCCTCCTGCGAGGCAGCGGCAATATGGGCCCCGTCCATACGGGAAGGGGCCCCGTGGGGAAGAAGAGCGGGTAGGGTTTATTGACTGAAGCTGTGCAATACTGCAATTCTGCCTGGACTCTGCGTGGAAAGGAAGGACTTCTTAGTGGTGGGCCCAGAATTTTGGAGCTGGGTATTCAAAATGTATAGGGGTAAAAAAAAATCACAATCAAAAGGCTAATATTTGACATGTATAGTGCTGCACATAGTATACATATAGGAAATATATGACACATAATTGAGTATGATTTCATATATTCAAGAATTTGACCACAAATTGAGCATATATTACTCTCTCTTGCTCAACCTCATCTTGCGACTGTTTCTCCCCTTTGCAACAAAGTTCTCAAATCTATGGTACCACTATTTTTTCTTTTCATAGTTGAGACCTAAAATGAAATCAAGAGACTACTAAGTAATTTGGGGACAAATTGCTATCCCTAACAATTTGAATAGGAAATTCGAAGCCTGAATCTCAACTTACACGAACAGTCCTCGCTGCCTCGCTGTTCGGCGGTCGCTGCTGACCTGCTGCGTCTGCGTGCTGGTGCAGCTGCTGCAGGCTGGTGCCGCGCAGCCGCGGTGCGTGCTGCCGGGCTGCGGGCTGCCGCCCGCCGGGCGCCGGCTGCTGCCGGCCTGCCCCTGCCCAGGATACTGGAGTCCGCGCGCCGGCCGTGCGCCCGTGCCGGCGCCGCAACTCGAAGCTAGGCTAGGGTTCGCCGGACGCGGTTCAGGGAGAAAACGCGGAGTCGCGTGCGGCTTCCCTCCCGACTCCGGTGATCACGAGTGAGCGTGGGGGAGAGGAGTTGGGAGCAGGCGTTGTTGGGCCTGCGGGTGAGAATATGGGCCTCTGGACCTCGTTGGGCCTTCGCGTGGGGGAGAGAAGTTGGGAGCAGGAGTAGAAATATGTTATTTCCGGCTATGATAACGAAACGGCGTCGAAATGACGCCGAGTTAGCCGTTGAAGCAACCGTGGAAGGAAACTCCGGTGAACTCGCGCGGTAAACCTAAACACCTTCTGTCATAAAAGTTCGTTTGGACGTGGATTCGTCGTCGCTTTCCTTGTATCTTTCTTTTACCGTTGCTTATTAAATTCTCTCTTTTTTTTTTGTAAAAAAACAGTGAAGAAATATTTTCATCCTTGTCAACCTTAAACTGATGAAGTGAAAGGTTGTACATATAAACATACAACTTGCATCGACGAAGTTTATTAGAGGGTGAATCTGGAACTTCAAGCTTCTCCCACTCCCAAGTCACATCAGAATACACAGAAGTTTCGGAGTCAGTTAGCACAAACTGCTCTGCAACCCCTAGTACTCGTAAATTGGGCTGACCTCACCGGCACACTACTTTGGTGGGCCTTGTGAACGATTTTCTGGCCCGCACACGTTTCACATCAAACGGACAGTACACGCAAGGCATCACATCGCAGGCCCGTTTCCACTCACGAGGCCGTCTAGCTCCTACTGGGCCCACATTGGGCCGCAGAGTGGCACCCCCGCGCCGGCCCACCTCTCCGTTCTCCGTGTTCGCGAGCCCCAGTCGGTCGGCGACCAAACCCGTCGAGCCAAGCAGCAGCATCACAGTTTTTGATGCATGTGTGGGTGGGGAGGTATTTCTGAGCTGATCTTGGACAGCAGTTTCATTTAGGGCCCGTTCGGCAGCAGCCGGACCAGATTTGCCGGCCTCACACATGGTGATGAGACAAGACAAAATCAACTCACCCTCTCGATGATATTGATCATCTGGCTAGTTTGGACGCAAAGGAGCGATAGGATTTTCGAGAGACAGGAAAAGAACGTGGACAGACATTCTTGTGGACCTCCTGGACTCGATTACCCTCAGCAGCAGTGCAGTGTAGGGGCCAGATGCCTGATCCCCCAACTAGTTGCAAAACTTCCTAGCAGCTAATCACTTAAGTTTCTTTTTCCAGCTTAACGGTCTGTTAAGCTTGGTTATGTCGCTATGCTACTTTTGCGCATCTAAATATGTAATCCAACTCCTTAATAACATAAGCCAGACTATGTATGGATCTTTTTTTTTAACAAAAACGATGGCCTCCTATGCCTTAGCTTGGTGACATGAGTACATGACATCTCTGGAATTAAGGCCATGCTAGTATATGCATGCGTGCTTCTGATCGATCTGCTGAGTAGGCTGCCATATGCGTACACACGTAAATTAGCAGCCCGGTTTCAGCAACGCGTCCTGATTGGCCCGATGCACCATTACCATTAGGCATTAGCTAGGGCCTAGGGCCCACTAGCTCCTCTCAATCACTGGGCACCCGCAATGGTATAAGCTAGTTAGTAGTTCTAAACCAACTTTCTCTAATAATGCTAACTTTAAGCATATATCTTATAATATGGATAGCGCCGCGGCCTTGCGTCCTCCCCAGCGCTGCTCTGTTCGAGTAGGGCAGGTGCCACCGTCGCCAAGCCCTAGGCCTGTGCGCGCTGCGCGGCTGGTAACACTTATAGTGTTGCGAGCTTGCTAAGCACTGAGATTATGGTCTGAGAGATGTATCTAATAAATATAGTGAGCTAGCTTACTTAAATGTATATATGTGTTAAATGAAAAATCCTAACGCGAAGAGTAGGATAGGTAGTTCTAAACAATGACACGCGTATCTTATATGACTCACTTCTGTGGTTAAGAAAAATTAAATGAGTGTTGTAAGTTAGTTTATTTTAGATGAGAATACACTAATGAGATCCTAATATGAAAAACTGAATAAGTTGTTTTAATTGTTGGCATGAAAAATAATTTTTATAAACCGAAGCGTAATATAACTTAGGATTAAAAAATGCCATTTTTGGAGGATTATTTGATACAATATAATTAAACAATGTCTACATATTTTGTTTCTATAAGTTAGTACGAAGTACAGGCTACGCCATGGTAGGTTTGTTAGTTGAAATCGACAAGGTTTAGATCTATTAAAAATTTGCGATAAAAGAGTTAATGGTTACTTAGCCTCAATTGGACTCCTTAACGTTTCTAAGTACGGAGAAGTAGTAAGACAATGCTATTTTTATATTTAATTTCTAACAAAAAAAATGTTTAAACACTAGGTCCATGTTTTTGTATTGTTGTTTGCATCAAAGTGAGTACATGAGCTGGTGTAGGTCGAAGTTGTGTTGGAGATCACGTTGCTCTCGTAAAAATTGCCCAAACTTCATTAGAACGCGTTGCGGTCAGGTTTTGACGCTCCGTTCGTGAATCAGCGCCTGGCTTGATGAACCTATTTTGGCGTGTTTCTATCTCTCTCGGTAGTTCATCTAAGTTTGCGTTTGATGTTCCTTGGGATAGCCTTTAGGACCCTCTTGAGCCTTGACAAATTGGTTTGGTCTTAACCGAGCTGGGTTGGTTTTGGTCAGAGCTTTAAAATTTGTGCACAACATTAGTTCGACCGTTCAACCCTGTGGCCACGGTCACCGCGCCCTTGCCCTGGTGCCGTTGTGTTCGGCCATGCTGTGAGTTGGCTGTGCCACGCAAGGGCTGGCTACAGCTATTCCGCACGCCAGCGTTGGCCGGCCCTGGCTGGCTGCTGCCTGGCCGACACCATCGCTGCTGCCATGTTGCCCTAGACCTGTCCCTCCCTGTCCGTGCCATTGCAACCGCCGCCGTGCCACTGCGCCGCACAACATGTTGATTGCATAGCGTTGGCCGGCCCTGGCTGGCTGCTGCCTGGCCGACAACATGAGCAAGGAAGAAAAGGCTCAAGCAAAGAGAAAGTGTTACTCATGCCGGGAGAGGGGACACATGGCATATTCATGTCCCATAGGTAACACTTCTAAGCCTATTTCAATTGATGATGATTCTATACTTAGGAAGGATGATAATGGTACCTCTATGGTTGCTATTGCAAAATATCCTGCTACTCATACTAAGGCTATGCCTAAGTATGTTGCTCCTAACTTGAGAGGACCCAAACTTGTTTTGGTACCATCAAAAAGTGGATGATTGATTGTAGGTACCATCGGCATTGGAGACTTGATTCAATTGATTTCATATTGATCATCATATGTTGAGTCAAGATATGAAGCCTAGTGCATATCCAAACCCAATGCCAAGCGAAAATTGAGTGAAGTCCAAGTGCTATTAACATACAAGTGTCATATTTAAGTTGTTGGTGATTCATTGGATATATTTGATGACTTACAAATAATTGAGTTAAAGCTTGCTAGTTGGATGATTATGAGCTAGCCAAGGTATATCTCTTGTTGATCATTCCATTTGGGTGCATATGAGTTGTTTGAATTGGATAAATATGCAATGTTGCTTGTTATAAGATGTTTGAATGGATAAATTGATTAGTAGTCAAGTTTGGATTGATTGGTTGGATAAATTCATGAGATGACTTTTAGTGAGTGATTGAATGGATATATGTCTTGTGAAAGTATTCAAACAAGTTAGTTTCAAGTTTGATTCATATTTGATGAAGTATAGCTCAATTGTTGAAATCTGTCCTATATTGCAAAATCTGAACTTGCTGTAATCTTAACCATGGTTGAGTGATCAAAACTTATTGGATTGACATAAAAATTGGTGTACATGCTATAGACTTATGGTATAAGATTATGTAGAAATTTCATGAAAATTGGATAAGAAATGCTTCGGTTTTGGAGTGGTTCTTGTCAGCTATAGTGCAGCAGTTTTCAGCATGTAGCAGTGGTGAAAGAATTGAAATCTGGTAGCAATCTAGAAGTCAAATGAAGCTCAAATTTTTACAGCTGCTAGATAACATAGTGAATCACATCTCCACCAAATTTAGTGATATTTGAATTTGTACTTTGGGAGATATGCTTATTTCTTTGAAACATACAGAATCTGCCAGAAAAGTGACAAATATTGGATTGATCTAGAATCGCTTTGATTGAAAGGTCCTGAAGTTGGAAACATGCTTACAAGTGTTTGAGGTACCTAAGTTTGGTTTTGAGATGGTATTTAAGCATGAAAAGTAAAGAGTATAAGGCCATTTGATTGTGGAGTGTACT